AACCCTCTATAAACCACAGAAACAGCTCGGAGGAACGCTAAAGAACACTAGAGAACAGCTATTATGATGATTACAAACAAACATTCGGACGTTTACGGTTAAAGAGACGTGGATCAATTCCGGCCTTGATGATCTTCGTCGTTTACGCGCCGACTATGACGAAGAAGAAGTCGAAGCGTTCTATATGGACTTGGAGAAGTTCTGCAGAAAAGACCACACATTCTTCAAGGTCATCATTGGAGATTTCAACGCCAAAATTGGACCAAGGAGAACGTCTGAGGAACGTCACATTAGGACCCACGAAGTAGAATGTAACGAACAGGATGACCAGCTATCTGAGTTTATCATGGCGACCAAGACAATCCATGGTAACCCGCATTTCCAGAAGCTCCACCCTCAGCGCTGGACGTGGGAATCTCCCAACAGAGAGTACCATAACGAAATAGGCCACATCATAGTAAATAGAAGGTTTTGCCTCTACCGATGTCGCTGTTGTCCCAAAATTCTACACGGGACCAGACCATTAAAAAAACAATGCACAAAAATTGCTATAAACAGGGATCTATTCAGTTCACTTCCCGACTGTTGGAAAGATTCCGTTCTCAATAACATCGACAGGGAGTTTTAGCCTAAGAAAGCTGACAGCTCGAAGGCCAGATGCCTGTCTTCAGAAACACCAGACGTGATGGGCCAGCGTGGAATCACAAGAGCTAGGGTAACCGCCATCTAGCGTTCGAACTAGCAAAATAGTGCAGACAGACGTTAAAAGAAAATTATAAAGAGAGAAGAGCAGCAGTAATTGTCGAAGCTGCAGAGCCTGGGAAAAGCGTTCGAAAAGCCCACGGGAGCTTCGCCAATTACAAGACCAAGATGGTTGCACTCCGATGTCCAGGCAGAACAGTTTCAGTGTCCAGGAAGGCAATTCAGAAAATCGTTCACAAATACTACTCAAATCTGTTCAATAGCACCGGTTCTCCCATCCGAAATCCGGCATGCTATTTAGCCGGTGAAAAATTGAACAGTATCAGGTTCAGGTACGATAATAGCTGAACACCTGAAGAGCCTTCCACCAGTCCTCGTAAACACACTGGCTCGGCTCTTCACAGGTTACCTGTCTGAATGCATGGTCCCTACTCAGTGAAAGCAATACCGTATTATTGTTCAAGAAGGGCGACCTACACGATATCGGCAACTATCGCTCAATATGCTTACTGTCTGTCCTCTACAAGCTTTTCACTCGAATCATCTTAAAGAAGATTCCTAGAACACAGGAAGAAGGGCAGCCATGTGAGCAAGCGGGGTTTCGAAAAGGATTCAGTACGGTGGACCAGATCCACATGATAACAAGACTCTTCGAAGTATCGCGAGAATACAAAAGACCACTCTGACTGGCTTTCATAGATCCAAAGAAGACTTTAGGTCGACTGAAATAGAAGAAGTAATGGAAGCCCTCGATAGCCAGAGAGACCCTACTCAGTATATAAAGGTTCATCGTGAGCTGTACAGAAATTTCAAAACCAGGATATCACCATTCTACAACGATGTTAACATCGAAGTCGAAAAAGGAGTCAGGCAAGGCTATATCATCTCGCCAAAATTATTTACCGCCACCCTCCAGAACGTCATGCGAGCATTGGGATAATATGGGGTGAAAATCGATAATCGGCAGTTACACCATCTTCGCTTTGCTAATGGCATCATTCTTATAAGACGAAACATTAGCCAGGCTGAACGAATGCTTCGTGACTATGATAACGCCTGTGGAAAGACTGGCCTTCGACTAAATCTCACAAAAAGATGCTCATGAAAAGCGAATTGGTTTCGCACGCCCCATTCACACTGAACGGGACGAATATTTCCGAATGCTCCAGTTCTGTCTGCCTACGCAGGGAAAGCAACGCGATCAACGACGTAGCTCCGGAGTTGTGCAGGAGGAGACGGGCGGCTTGAGAAGCTTTTAAGAGCATCGAGGATCTAGTGATGAGAACAAAGAGCGCCCGATTACTTGCCCACCTTTTCGACTCAACGGTACTTTCTGCTCTAACATATGCGTCTGAAACCTGGTCGTTGCGTGAGCAGGATGAAATATCACTCAGTGTTATCGAACGCGCAGTCGAAAGGACGATGCTAGGAGTATCACGTTCCACACAACTAAGGGAAAGGATCCGAACCTCTGTCCTGCGTCAATGATCGAAAATCAAAGATGCCGTTCTGCACGCCAAGCAGTCGAAGATAAAGGGAGCCAGACACGTAATGCGCATGAATGACAATCGATGGACAAGAGCCGTTAATGACTGGATTCCTCGGCATGTCAAACGCACAGCAGGAAGACCACCAACCCGGTGGTTAGAGTATTTCACGAAGAGCCTAGAAGAAAGATATGATACTCAACGGTCCCTAGAGCCAGCAGAATCCACTGGACCACTCTTGCACGCTACATGGGAGGATAAAAGGTTTACTGGTGCGCGCTGGAGTCTCTCGTCGGTCAGTGGGTTTGCAGGCAAAACAGGTGAACACATGCGACAAAGCGGAGGCGTGAGTAGCGCAAGGGTTCGAGGCCTCCTGCAGCACACACGGTTCGATTGAGTGACCAACTTACCAGATCCGGCTCACAAGGCCCACCATCCCTCTGCGGCTGGCGAATTGGTACCAGGTCTGTCTTGGAGAGTAGCACACACTTGATACACCGGTGAGTCCCCATCTGTCATTGTATAGACCAGTCATGGATCCAGTCGTCTTTGATGGTGCTTAATTAAGTCGAGTGCATGGCTCTGGACTTAACAAAGCCGTGAACTTTTGTTCTTTTTGCACATATTACGTTGTCTTTTTCGTCTATCCGACGAATTAATAAGATTATGTCAACTCGAAGGTGTTAAGATTTTCACGTTTGTTCAATGATGGTAGGAGCATGCTGGACTCCTCTGGTTCCTGATGGCGACGAATGAGGACTTTAATGGCATCCGTTCGAGTCCTTTGGTCAGATATTCACTGTCCTTAGCTGTCCGGTTGTCTATGAATTATCCCTATGGTGTGCTTAGCACACCGGCAATGATCTACGTATAATGACATCCGTTACCGAAGCAAAAGAATCCCAAAGAAAATTGCTGAGAACTTGTTTTTAAGCGTGATGAACATGTCGCTGTGGTATCCGTATCTCTTCACTTGGCCGATTGTCATGTGCCATGATGCATTTCTTATCCATAGCGCCTTCAGTGAGTGCGGTCGGTGTCCTCGACCTATGCGTTTTCCTTCTTCTCTTTCACGTTGTCGGTGTCCACATCTGGCACCTAGGTATTCTCAAATAGACTGCTGTTCTCTTGTGCCTATCGAAAGTCGATTCACGGTTTTGTCTTCTTCACAAATCGAAATCGAAAAGCGAAACGATCATTAGGCAGACCATCGATCGCGTAGATCACTAGGTGCAATCGATGGCGGGCGGCGTCTTCGGCGTCAGTCTTCGGCGGGCACGCGCTAGCGGCGGTTGATTATTCTTGGTTTCCGTACCCTCTACCAGATTTATTATCATAATGTGGTTTTACTTTTACTTGTAAAGAGCTTTAGTTTAGTAAAGGGGCCGATGCGGAGTGGTGCCACCGCGAAGTTGCCTCACCTTCCTTTCATGTGCATATTTACGCGATATTTTTGCTCTCATTTATTGTTTGTAATCATCATAATAGCTGTTCTCTAGTGTTCTTTAGCGTTCCTCCGAGCTGTTTCTGTGGTTTATAGAGGGTTTTTCATTTTTTTTCTTCATTTGTATTTATAGATCTATCATGGACCTGCTTGATAACATCACTTCACTGATGACAAAGACCGAAAAGGAAAGAGCTGGCAGATCAAAGAAAACAGCTGAGGTGAGTCGCTTTGACGAAAATGGGAAGGCTTCTAACAAGATAGTGGTCGTTATTAATCCGGTTAGTTAGAGAACTATACGACTTACTTTGAATGAAGCCAACAGTAGAGCTGGCGTCATTTCCGTAATAATTTGTTGCTATGCGTACAGAACTCTGAAATGCATAGCTTGTCATGGATCCGTTACGAGTTCAGGTCAAAACTCCTAAGAGGAATGAAAAGACAAATAGTGCTACTGATGATATGCTGCTTATTTGCTCCAAAATACTCATTTATACGTCTGCCTTAGGTGAAAGGTGAACGCCTTTAACTTTTGAAATCGTGGAAAGTGCTAGTGGTACCGTTGATGTTGACGGATCTGGCGTGGTGCCATCAGCTTCAAATATCAAAAAATGCCATGGAAGAGATGTTGCAGCTGTTTTTCATTTATGGTAACGGCATTTGAAACCAAATGTGGTGCATTTCTACCTGAAACTGGGTCGTATTGCTGCAATATAAGCTGATATTGCACGTGCTACTAGCAGTCTTCGTTACTTTTCAACTTGATATCATTAACATTGTGTAAATGTTTATTAAGGGAAGAACCTCTGGAGCTTCAACCGCTACCCCGTCGACGAGTTCTGCCGTTCCGAAGGTTGTGACTATGTCACATCCCAGTAGCTCTGCAGTAGGACGGCCGACTAAACATCGGCAAGAGCTTGGAATTGAATCCAGAGGTGGGTGAGCCGCTTACACTGACAGACAAGTGCCTCATTAAATTTATTTTGCTTGGTGATCGAATAGTTAAATTTTAAACTTAGGTGGATGCGATTTCCTCATCCATAGGAGGTTGCCAATAGAGATGAATGGAGTTTACATGGATTTGTCGCGTGCTCCTGAATTTGTGAGACGATACCACATTGATGTCAGTAAGGTTGTGCAGGGCAAGCAAAAAGATGTAACAAGAGGTCCTAAACAAGAGTTAGTGCTACTTGATCGTGATCGAAGGAATACCTGTTGTTACCAAGGCACGCATTTCGTTTTCAGTTTCTCAACTCAGCAACGACGTCGTGCACTGTTTGCACTCTTCAAACAGCTGGTTACTGATAATTTGGACCATTTCGGAGAGGACCGTTCCAAACACGTTTACGATCTTGGGAATACGTTTTACTCCATTGGTTGCAGAATAACGGAGCAGGATGGCGAAGTTATGTTTAAGATGAAGCCAGTGAGCCTTCTGATCCATTCTACTATCCTTTCTATCTTGAAAGTTGTCGACATTGGTATTTTCGAATGTTCCACTTGTTCCAGAGTGAAATTGTGTCTTCTTCGGCTCGTGAATTCCTTCCAAGGAGATGCCAACAGCTGCTTTTCACCGTGCAGTATGTTGGTCAGGTATGATTCCCACACTTCCTATGAGATTCCTACCGTGCCAACCATTTCTGTTTATTTTCATGAAGTGGTTCTTTGTTATGTGGGACGTCTACTTTCGAAAAGATGAATACAAATATTGCTTACCTTTCTGTTTCAGTTGAAGTACTGCAGCAGTTTCATTTAGATTCGTATAAAAGACTTGAGACAAAATGAAGATGAAGGGTATCTTCGTGAAGCTTGTCGTTTCTTCGAAGTTTTGACGAGTCAATATCTTTATGACGGGTTAGTGATTACCGTGGTCAATTCATCATACTTCACTCTTCCATAGGCTAGTATGATTTGGTTCTGGTTGGTCAATGATACCGACTTTGTCGTTTCTATTAAGCCTTACAACACACCAATTCCAATCTATAAGAAGAAAGTTTGAAGCATATGCTATAATCAGTAAATGCCTTTTGAAGGCATTGTCTTCATAATTTTTCACTTTACACGAGCTGCTGAATTTTCTAACAATTCTTTTCCACTCGTTTTAGTGACAGCTATAATTTTGCCAACAAATTTTTCGAAAGCTCTGTCGATAAGGACGTCAAGATAGGAGAAGGAAAATGTGTTAAGAGTGGCTTTGAGAAGAATGTTCGGTTTGTTTTATTCTTCTTTGCGAAAACATCTAGTTTTACTTTGATTCAGTTCTTCAATAGAGCTTAAATTTGCTAACAACTGCTGTGATTGAGTTTTTCAGGATGGTCAGCAAAGGCGGAGATCAGGCAACTCCAGTTCTACAAGTCGTTAGTAAGTAGAAGTTTTTTGAAAGTCTTATTTATTGTTGCTGGTATGAAATAGTGGGAATTGCGCCGTATGTTTCGAAGCGGAACAAATGATTTTAAATTTATAGTTTGTAATGTGATTATTGTTAAAATGCGTTTTTGGTCGTTCCTTGAACACGTTTTATTTCTACAGCAAGAAAATCTCCGTTTTACTGTCCTCTGCCGGTTGTGGAATTTATTAGAGAACACACCAATCACCCGAATCTTGAGGCAGCGATGCTCGACAGAGCGTTCTTGGAAAAAATATCTCATGATTTGCATGGTAAACTGTATCACTTGTTATTTGTTTTTTATTCAAATTACCCAGCTTCACATATTTTTTATTTTATTTATTTTATACGACCTGCGTTTGCATCTACTGTGCGAATCTTCTATTCGATTCGTTCCCTCGCATCCGTCATCCACAAAAACCTGTCTACTACGTGTGGCTTCGGCTGATAAATAAGGATTTTCATTTCATCTCGAATGTCGTATAATACTGGTCGAGTTGTTTCTCACTGAAATCCAAAGGTAGTCGATCGAGAGTGTGCCCATTTGGGTTGCAGAAAGTGACTTTTTTTCGCCGACAAATGCGGTACCGATTTCCCAACTCCGAAGGAATGAGAGGCTTAGTGAGTCCAGAACGGGATCGAAGCAGCACCGTACTCGTGATGACCATCGTCACTGCCAATGTTCGACCTATCGCTATCACTACCGATTCGCATATACTTATACGTGTTTATATATATATGTACATGTTGTATATCTATAGAGAGTATGATTGAAAAGGGAATTCCTTGTTTTGAAATGCTTAAAGTAGGTTATGTGCATCTTGTCTAATATTTCACGACCCGTTCACACCTAGTTTTGGAGATCTCGGCAATTCTTGCATTCCATTCGTTTTTTCACATCCATCGTCTACGAATGTTTTCAGGTTTTTCATATGTGAGCTCAACTTCTGCTTGGAGATAGTTGTTTCTTTGTAAATTTCGTTGAATTCTGATGAGTCGATTTTTCCTCAAATTTTGGGGTGGTTACGCTAAAGCGTTGCTACGTGAACGGGCAGAAATTAGTACGACCTAGAGATAAATTATAACAATTTAGAGATCTCATAGGGTTGAGAGGCTTGATGCGCCCGGGGTTGGGTTGTACCAATGCTGTGCTGTTCGTGAACTGCATTACTAGCAGTGCGCTATCAGCCTCATATTGGGCTGCATTAATTATGATGTCTTTAAAAAATTAATGGAAAAGGTGGAGAAAAAATCGATTGAAGTATTTTTTTGCACGAAGAGAGTCTGTGGTTTAGGTTAATTCGTTTGTTTAATAATTCGTTTAATTTCGTGATTATAGGAAATGATTTTATTCAATAGAGCTAGTAAATTATAGATTCTACCCGAATATTTAAGAATATTTAAGGCCTGATCGTCGTTACAACTCACATGGAAACGAATAGACGATTCTATATTCATGGGATTGAGGAAGCTTATGCCGGAAAGTTAGTATTATGTTTGACTTGCTTCAATTTTACTGACAATTGTCTATAATAATTGCTGTGAGCATGCCTCTTTTAGGCAATTTTTTGAAACACCGGAAGGGAAAATATCAGTCGAACAGTATTTTCAAGAGAAATACAAACGCTCTCTGCGTTTCCCACGTTTACCGCTGGCTACTGAAAGAAAAAGTGCAAACATGCTTAACTACTATCCTCTTGAATTGCTTGTCATTGAACCAGGTCAACGTGTTTCCACTAGGAAGCTTACTGGAGCACTTGTAAGTTTACTGGTTTCTTGCAGGTATTTTAATCTTGTTCGTCTTTTTTTAAAATTTTGCTTCCTAGTGTCTAACTAAATATTGTCGGGTTTCAGACAGAGAGAATGGTTCAACAAGCACGAATTCTGCCTCACGAGATGAGGAAAGATAATAGAAGGCAACTTGCCTGGGCTGGGCTGGCTGGTGACGATAATGAATATCTTTCTTCATTTCGAGTGCGTTCTCTTAAAATACTTTCAGTATGTCTTGTGATAACTGGTATCATGCACTATCCTATGACTTGCGATCAGACTTGTCCATTATTTTTTTTATCTTCTTTGTAAACAATAACTTTGTCACTGTCGGTGGACAAATCTACGTGCAAAAATCGCTTATTTCTGTCGAACTGTTCAATTTTAAGAAATCTCTCTCTTATAAATGGCATAGTTGTTACAAGTAGTCATTCATTACATATATTGCTTATACTGAAAATGGTTTTAAAGGTCCGCATATTCAGTGAGTTTGTGACTAGTGAGGGAAAGGTGTTAGCCGCACCTGAGATCACGTACAAAACCGGGTTAGTTTATAACTAAATACATGTTTTCGGCTTTTTTAGTTTGTGAAATTAAATGTTTACTTTTAAGTTCGCTGCAACCTGATGGAAGAGGGAGGTTGACCTGGAAATTAACTGAGCGGTCTCAATTTTTCCGCCCAGCGACGGTAGAAGCTGTCTCTATAGTAATCTTGGACAAAGCTGTCCACCGTAATCAGGCAAGGTAAGCTTTTTTTTGTAATAAAGACTTCCACAGTTTTTTTTTTGACGGAGCGATTCTGAAGCGAATCATTGTAAGGTCCGAGGGGCACCTATGCATACAATGGTCAGTGATTAAGTGCTCACTAGGATCGATTCTGTACTTTCTTTAAAACCCATCTCTACTTAGTGAATGGACTCCTGTGTGAGAGTGAACATATATGCATGTGTAATTGAGTGCCTTTGCATATTTCTGGTCAGAATTTCACGCGTCGACTCGAACGATTATTAACCGTCAAATAAATGAGAACTGCGTAAGAGGTGTTTCGGAGTGTAATACCTAGTGTCTACTCTCTGCAAGATTATGGGAGGATATTCATAACCAAAAATAACAGGTCAAAAAAACTTTCACGGTATTATCCACAAACCCTCTTTTGACACCACGGTGTTGTTTAAGACATGAACGTTCGAATAAATCCGTAAAAATGCCGATTTGGTCCTCATTATCGGACCTTTAACGTTAAAGTGTTCCCCTGGAAAGCGGTAAAACAGAGGATTGGACATTACAACGAATGTAATATTTTGCCTAGCCGATCTCATTGTTGTTGCATAGTTTTGTATAGGGTGAAACTATCGCGTGCGCACAAGGTTCCTCCTCTTAACGAGAGAAAGCCACAATATTCGAGAGAAGACATCTAGGAACGATCGTAGATCGCTAGTTCGTCACATGGTCGGCCATCTCTCGTGATGTTACTGTTATGGATGATGTAAATAAGGAATATGCTTTTCATGTGTTTCTCGAAAAGGTTCAGAATAAAGGAACCATCAGGAGTACTGGAAAGTATTGTCAGAGGCATAAAAAGTGACCTGCACGAAATCGGCAACCTTTCCCCAATCTGTTGCTGTCAGGTCTTAACTGAAGTCGTGCTTATTAGAATTGGTGGAACAGTGGAGAAAAAACAGCCTTGCGATCAAAGGAGCTTTTGCAGAGAATTCGGCACAATAGGTATCGTCCGTGTGATGGCGAAAATAAATAGTTCCTAGGAGTAAGAAGGGATGGTTCTGGCTCCTTTTCATCGGTTTTTAAAAAAATTCCTTATAAATTAATGCAAACGTTCATAGGAACTGTACATTGTTAGAGTGCTCTATTCAATATGACGGGGCCGGACACTTAATGGCAACATTATTCATAGGCTGGTTACAAGATGATTGTTTTTCTGCCGCAAATTCTACTTGCTGAAACGCCAGCGGAAATACACTGGTGGAAGTTATAGTTGTTTGCCAGTGCTGTAGAAATGGTGATTTTTTGTCTTAGTGATTTCTATCATGCTTTGGCTCGTATGGGACGTTCTCGTGGGATGGAGATCCGGGAGACCAATGTGAAGATTCATGAAATGTACTCCGAGCTCAATAGCAGAATCGAGGAACATTTCAGGTGCAGCCATTTGGAAATTATTTTCTGTTTTCTTCGTGCTTTATTTAAAAAAAAGACAACATTAGAATTTTTATATTCTTGACTGCTGGGTATAACTTTGTTTTTGAAGAAGTGCTAATATTTTGCTTTGACGACGTCTTGGAACCCATCTTTAACCTTTTCCATTGGGTGGTTTTTTCAGATATCTCTTAAAAAGTGAACTAGGTATTTACTATATAGATAATCGTTATGGAAATGTTTCGCAATCTTGTGAATGAAGCAACTTTCCAATCTAACACTTGGGATGATGTGCTATAAATTTGTATATAGTGCTGTAGTACATTGTTCTTGTACGTAAATTCGTGTCTATTGACCAGTGTTCTGTATATTTACTCTAATTTGGTGCAATTTTTCTTCAATCAGTCTGGAGAAGATTTTATTTTTGGGAAGCGGAAGCACGTTTATTAGATCTGCAGTGCAACGAACAGTGACCACATAGCGTGCGCTCAGGCGTTGAGGGGAAAAAGAAAAACTTTTTGACTTCTGTTTAACTCTGTTTGCTAATCGTGGATTCGAAACCAAACTAAGGGTCTGTGTTTTCTTTACTTATCAGCATTGTTGTGGTTGCATTTCTAATTTCCCTCTAGCTGACAACCACTCAACCCGTCTTTTCGTGCAGTGGAAGGTTTACATTACATATTACGTAGAATTCCTAACGATAAAGTGATCGGTAGTAGTCAAGCTAACATATTGTTGCTGCAAAAGCTACTATTCTAGAAATTATTTTTTATTTGGTAGAGAATAATCTCCGACTCCTCAAATTATCATACATTTATCATGCTAGTTTTTTTTTCTGTGCTAATCTGGTCGACTTGACAGCAAATGTGTTATTTAGTCATTTCACTGGCAACACTCATCCTACATCCACACCTAGACTTTTGTGGTGGGTATCCTTTGGGCATAGTGAGATTGCGTGTCATGTGAACGTTCTGAATGTTTCACCCTACTCCAAAAATCTGTAGTAACATTCCATTCACTTTGACACTGTTATTACCGTTTTCATTTCCTTGATTCTTCATTTCATGAAGAGCCGACTTCTGTTTTTACATAAGCCCTATTTGTGTAACAAATGTCTCTCGTACCTTAACATACTTTGTGAATATCTTGCAAAAGTCGCTACGCTGTTCTTAGTGTAACTTCTTGCTTGTTCTCCTTCCGTGACATTGGGTACTCTGTTGCATATTGTATTCTGCGCAATTTTTCTAAATATCGTTGCGTTGTTATTGATATATTGACCCCATCTATATAAGGGTTTGCTTGCCCATATTTGAAGCTCCAAATATGGCCCTAATAAGAGCTACACGTAGCAAGCAAAGGGAGCAGAAGCATATACCTCGAAGGAGATGATGCATTCGGTGTATTGGCGAATCCAATGAGCTTAATAGTGCGACGTTACGTCCAAGTACGCAGATCTGCCTTATTTTCTACTGTGTGTACGCTCAGGTGCGTAGACGTGTACGCTTTGCGCTGCAGGTCAGTTAACCGCAAGACAGAAAGCATATCAATGAATTGGGTTGATTTTAAATGCAATGATTGTGAATTCATTGCACCGTGATATCCATTCTTTCACGGCGTGTGACCCATATTGTAAACTGCGACGAGAAGTGGATTCTCTACTTCAGTTGGCGGCAATCGGCACTGTGGATGAGTGTAGCTGAAGGTCCGCAGCACCTTAAAAGCAGAAATTGCATCGACAGAAGATTATGCTGTTGATTTCCTGCTTTTTTGGACCACTTGAACTTCTTGAATCGGGATGGAACGATTACAGCAGAGAAGCAGGCTCAAAAAGGCATCGAGGCTCAAAAAGGCATCGAGCTCTAAGAAGAGACGCGAGCATTGGTTGACGGGCTGGTCTACGAGGTTCTGCTTCATCATATTCATCAGACCTCTCGCCTAAGGACTTCAGATTTTACAGGAATCTTAACTACTTTCTGCCCGAGGACTATTGCGGAAACCAAACCGAAGCTAACATTGCCTTCAGCGCTTCATCTAACCCAGAAGTTTAAGATTTTAAGCCATCTCTGTGAGTAAATTTATCCGTTATCAAAAAATGTCCGACGGTTTTTTTGTTTCAATTAGTAAAGTTCGTTCTGAGCTGAAAGTTAATAATAACCTCGTGTATACTCATGAATAGAACATATTATTCATTAGCAGTGTTAACTCTTTGATTTTCGATTCACTGCCTACCGCAATTTTTCACGGTCGGGTATCTTATGAAATTCAACCACAGATGTCTTCGGTGGAAATGGAGCGCGCTATTACGGATTTCTGGGGCTAACGCGTTTACCACCACCCAGGTGAACACTTCATTTCGTCTTTGTCTCGCCTAGTTTTCCATCTAATAGTGCCATCAGCAATTACCCGTCAACGCGATTAATCTGGGGAGCCCACATGGGCATTGAACCCGGTTTAGCTTAGGTTGTAGTCGAAATCACAATATGAATTTATTATTGTATGCTTACGTTAATGTCATTATTGACAGTTAGGTCGCGATTGAATGAGGGTCGGTTTTTTCGATTTATTTCTTCGTTGTGTAGTTATCAGCAGGAAATTTTTCTGCATAAAAGATCCTGTATAAGTTGCACTCCAGAGGATTCGACTCCGTGCGACTACGATGATGCACATGACGATGACGCGATCAACCATAGGTAGTAGACTTGGTTCAATCTTAGTATTAAGCAGGCGTAAAGCTCTGAACCTTAGGCGACCGAAAGCTTATAGCGACCTGTTGTAAGTTCATGAGTAGAGCTAAGTAAAGTAATATGGTTCACCATAAGGTCATCTATTCTGGTGTGAAGTTTAAAATGCCGTATTCATCAGTCACTTTCGATAGTCATAGTCCCTCCGATTCGCTTGTCGTTTTTGAGTTCAACTTATAACCTAAGTTTAACTTTATACCACTGTTTTGTTGCACTCATGAGCTTGAGTGAGATTTTTCCGGAAAGTGCTTCACTGTGATTAGTGTTTTGGCCCCTTCATTTTCTTCAGGGACACAATGATTCGATGCGGATATACACAGTGGTTATTCAACGCGGCATACGTTTTTGAAGTGGCATCGAGTAGAATCGTTTGTGGTACAGGTCTAAACCAAATATAATTTATACCATTACTGAAGTATTATTTCTTCTAAAGTCCATTCACAATTGGATATCCGTCCTTGTAGTGTGTTAACCGACTTACTTAAGCAACATTGATTGAAATCGGCGTTATGCTTTCGGGAAGAAGCGGTATGTATTAAGAATACACTGTTGCGGTCACCGCTTAAATAATTAAAAGCATCTTTTAAAGAGGACAAAAAAATTTTGTCGAAATTGCTTTGGTTTTGTAGTTTGTCTCCTGTGTTTCTCATACATTGCATATACTAAATGAGTGTACCTGTTTGTGTTTTATTCTAGATCTGTGGCTGGGAAGGTTTCTATGGTCATGTTTGTGACGAAGATCAGGAAAGATCCTGTGCATGGTAACCGAGGAATCAATTTTTTTTGTCTCTTTACTTTTGTGGCAATTAGCCTTTGTTTCTTTCTAATTGCAATCTCTTAATTGCTCAAACGTCTTCATTTTCAGACTTTATCAAGCTGCTCGAAGCAAGGTACAAAGTTGTTACCCAGCATGTGAGCGCCTCTACGGTGTTGTTTTGTTGCCAGAACAGAGCCAGGGTATGGAGTTATCTATTTGTTTGAGCAGTTAAAATGCTAGAAAAGAAATTATTTAAGACGGCCAATTTTATTCAGATCACATAATTGGTTAAAACAATTAGTTAATTAGTTTGAGGCAAGTTAAATTAGTCGAAATTAAATTGTTGTTACATTACGTCACGAACTCGGATACGGAAGGAGTGCCGAAATCGCAGGGCCGTTTTAAACTACCTGAACTTCACACCCAAAATATCGCCATTCTATTATGTTACAACACAATTGTTTTGTTGGAAAAATGTAGGGGTACGACAATGCGATACCATTTCGCCAAAATAATTTGCGACCATCCTGGCGAGCATCGTACCAACAATGAAGTGGTCCAACGTAATAGTGAAAATTCTGCTATGGCTCCTATAACATCAAGCACTAGCCCGGGGGAACGAATGCTGAACGATTTCGATAACGCTTGTGGAAGAATTACTCTTCGACTAAATTGAACGGAAGCGACGCTTATGGAAATCGTATTTCTTTCTTATACTCCATTTACTCTCAACAGAATAAATATCTGGAAATATTCTAGATGTGTATATATAGGTCACAAAGTCAACTTTATGAATTATTAGCTCTAGAGTTGAGCAGAGGTGTTTTGAAGTACGTGAAGGATGTAGTAGTGAGTAGAAAAAACCGAAGGAAAAATACCAAAATGCCGAAAAATCAGGCGGGCATGAAACGCAATGCGTGTGAGCGACAACGGTTGGACATGAGTGCTAACTACGAGATATCCTCGGGATGTCAAAAACGGCAGAGAAACCACCAATACTGTGCTCGGAGTTTTTCACGAAATCCGTAGAAGAAGTATTTGAGGCTTGATGATTACAGAGCGTGCAGAACCCATTAGGCTGTGATAATTACTGACGTCTACGTGATCTACACAGCTCTTTTTTCGCCCGGATTCGTTCCTTCAGACTTGTGATAGCTTTCAACGAAAATTTCATTTCTATTCGTCAACTAGTTTAGTCTGTTAGCATGATTCCTCGCAATTACTACCGGATGCGACACATATTTTACAGATTATCGAGAATTTGTTGTTGAAGTTTAATGTGAAGTGTGGAGGACTCAACCACATGATATCTTCCACTCCAGTTGCTTTGCGGGACCGTACGTCTCAACGAGACATGTGAGTGGAGAGTATGACGTCTTTCATTATTGTTTTATGGTAATAAAAAGAGTTCAATTCAATCGTTATCTGTAGGAATGGACGATTGTTCAATGGGAAAATGTTCGTCGCATTTGAGCTTTCTCACCCTGCGGCGCTGAGTTTCTACGATCGACAGAATAAGAAGGCTGCTAAAGAGCCAACTGTTGTTGGAGTTAGTTTTTTGATTTCATGTACAATATTATTGTTGCTATAGAGAAACCTCTAGTGATGGAACGTTTCAGTTCGCTTATAGCAAAACACTCGCAACCGACTACACGGGCTGTTGGTGGTATCAGCAACCACATCTACACAATATACAGTAAGTGGACACTTGGTAGAAGTAGTTCATAAGAAGCTTAACTATCTCATTGGAGCAAACGACTTTTATCGATTATTAGTTCGTCGTCGTATACAACTTTCTACTCTTTCAGTTAGGTACTTTGTCGTCTTGCGAGTCGTATATGCATGGTTAGTTTCGAAAAAGAAAAAAATCCTTGTCTTAACTGTTTATGTTAGATTGGTTTTCAACACGGGCGAATTCTACCACATGTTAAAAATCCGTTATTCATAGTATTTTGGAGCTTTTAAGAGGCATCAAAATCGTAAAAGTGCAAAAAGCATTGAAATTTTTCGAGAGAATGCTTGGAGAGAATTTAATATAAAAATAAAGGTTTATTGACGGTGAAGGCAAGGTCCATCGTGCATTTAGGCTCACGAAGTCACGGGTAGATCGTTTTTGATAGTTTTTAATTTGTCCTGTTCGTAATTAATATTGGTACTGTCTGTCCGGTAGTAGTTTTCATTCTCAGTAAGCAGAGCATGTGTTCTTGGCACATTTATGAATGTGTATAATTCTTGGTGGGCTTGTTCAGTGCTTGGAATAGGAACGATGAGCATTGTGAGAGCAATTTTATTATATATTCGTTGAAGGAATTAAAATCCCGGTATATGATTTATGGGTGAGCAGTTTTGCTTAGTTACGCTGTTGATTTGTCTACATTGCAGAAATATATCTATTTTGTACCATCTTAGGTATATAAGAGATCATTTCAACGTTGCCTTTACGTGCTACTTTGAAGAGAACAAGAGCCTCCCTGCAGAGGTTGTCGTATACAGATCTGGAGCAAGTGAAGGCGAATTTAACCAAGTATGTTCCCTGCTACGATTTTTTCTCGGATTCATAATTATCGAATCCAATTTGTTATCAAGGAATGTGTAATGATTTTTAGATAAAAGAGGAAGTGCGCGATATTCGGGCCGTTGCTGAAAGCATGAGAGATCATAATGGTGGGAAACCTTACAGACCCCGAATTACTGTAATTGTCGTGCAGAGTAGAAGCAATTACAGGTGATTGTTTCTGTATTAATACATGCTTCGTTCTGAGAGTTTACAAGCTTTTATACCGGTTATGCCTTTAGAATCACGCCTGCCTCATCAGTGGAAGAGCGCTCTGGTCGTTTAAGAGCTGCTGAGCTTAATGTTCCTTCTGGAACCTGCGTAGATGCCGATATTGTTAACCTGCGCTTCCGGGAGTTCATAATGACATCGCAGCAGGCCAGTATTGTTAGTTATTTTTTCTTGTCTGCATTTTTTCCGACTTTTCATGTGCCATAAACTATTCAGTGGATCGTTGTACTTTACTGTTTACAGTAAAAAATTTTTGTAGCAAGAATAGAATCAAGGGAAAAGGGAATTGGTTTACCGTATATGCTAAATTCAGGGAACCTCTCGGCCAGTGCGGTACACAATTATTGTGGAAGACAAGCCTGAAAGGCCTCTTTATGAAGTTGAGCATATGACACATTTCCTGTGCCATGGGCATCAGGTGTCGATTTTAAATGTTATACCGCATAATAGGTTGTCTTGCGAAACCACAGCACACGTCTTAAAATTTTTCGTTTTAACCATATGATTTTTAGCAATCAGTCCTTCCGACGAGAGTTCCTGCGATTCTCTTTGCTGCCGAAAACCTTGCAAAACGAGGTCGGGCTTCTTGGATGAGTAAAGTGTAAGCTTGAATGTTTCATATCTTTTTTGGATAGCTAGAACACCCATTGTACTTGTGTTATCTAGCACACTTACCACTAGTTTTTTCAACCATAGGCGTTGTAACGGCAGTCTTTCGGTCATCGTGATGTGAGCTCTGTGTTATCTTCTCATAGTATGTAAGTGGTTTCCACCTGCTTGATATAGGATACCAACAAACCTAGCTCTTTAGTAGATAGTCGTTCATGCATCCATGTCCTTCTTACCAATACACCTAACAACGAAAATAGTGCAATAAAACTTGACAAAAACTTTTTCTTACAAAATACTTCCATATGCCGATAGTAAATGTGGTTTAATTGTGAACTATGGAGGAATGTAGCAAACAGTATCACATGTACCCCAATAATGATAAAACGAAGTCTCTTTCATTGATCTCTGATGTTCTCAATCCTCCATTCCTCTAGCTACCGAAAATTTAACGTTTCTTGCTGAAAAACCAGCATTATTTGTTATTTTCGGCATTCAAATTGGTCCAGTCTGTGTACCCGCCACATAAACTTCCACGTATGCCGACCCATCTATGAGAGCTCAGAAAAATGGTTTCCATTCGTTATGACAGTTTCTTTCTTCAGTTTTGATTTTGCTGAAATCGCTTTTATTTCATTGGCTCTTTGTATATGCTGCTGAAGTCTGCTACAAAAAAATTGCAACAGTTTCTTTCGTTTTGGTCTTCACACCTAGAGTTTCGGTGCTCTATGTGTATAATAATTCATCCTGGTTGGTTGATAGGTTATCTAAGGGATTTTTTTTATTCACACATATTGAACACAGTAGATTGTTAGTGGTGAGCTAAGCTGCCATGTGAGTCGACATTATTTATTGTCTTCTTTCCACGGCAAAACGTTATGCTTTGATTTCACTCCCATATGTTCGCCGTCTTATTCTTGAGTTTTCACTAGCGATCAGTTGTAAATCGTAGCTGGACGTTCGGAAACATTCTTTGCCACAGTGAAACGGTAAACTGTTCGGGTTTTCATTATTGTAACACTTATGCGTTCATAATTTTTCCTCCACTATTTTTCTCTTTTTGTCTGCTGTTTTATTTTCGTGGTAGATGCTCTTATCGGACCAATGTTTTGGTCCTAGTCAATATCCTGATAGTCACAATATTGTACTCTAGTAAGCAACATTTTCAGCGGTGAGGATTTCGAAGGTTACCCATCAATTTCTACAGTTCAATCTATGCGTGCTAGCGAAGAGTCTCCAGATGAGTATTATAGAAGGATTAGTTCAGAGCTCCTCAGCAGTCTGCCTAACCATTACTTTGCTTGAAGAGATCCTCTCCGTATGTGCTTTCACTTTCGGTTGCCGAAAATTATTCATGAAATGTATTTTTATTTACAGAAAATATATTTTTTTCACTACCTCGTAATTCTAGGTAAACCTCTTATTTTGCTCAAAGTCAAGTGTTTATTTGTTTTTCGATTTTTATCGTTTATAGAAGTGCATTATGTTTTTTCTGTATTGCATTGTATTTGTTTTTCGATAAATATGACGTTATACATGTATGGACATTTCATGTCTATTGCGCTTTTTTGGAGATCTTTGAATAAGAACATTACTGATTTCCTTGTACTCGATTGACGCGGATGGATCTGTGCACGATATACACCGTATGGCGTTTATTCTCCGCTCAGTTGGTTCCTGGTTTTTTCTTATTGTAGTATATACTCTTACCAATAGAATTGGAAACACGTCGAAATGTAGACAGCAACACTATGATAGCATTGGTACCACATACTAACACATAGTAGTAGCACACGTTTTATTCATACTCAAAGAAAGGAACCATGCCTGTTCTTCGGCCGTTTCATGTTTACAAGTGAAATCTTCCAGTAACTGAAAAATTGACTCTTGCTTTTAGGATCTGTTTTCAACTAGTTATCGAATGAATATACATAGTTTGCAAAAAGCTCCGCAGCCTGTTAAACTGAGAATGGCCACTGTACATAGAAGTCGTTAACTCATGCCACCACGTTTAGATGTCGAAATTGTAGCGAATATGTTGGCAAATAGTGGACAGTATGTATTCTGCACAACGGGTGTGGTGTCTCGAATGCGCGATATGATTTCATTGTTCCGGGTTGTCCGAGGAGCCATCTTTGTCTGCAATGCGAATGCTCCACTCGCAATGTGCAAGTGGCAGTGATTCTGCATGGCGGCCACGTAACGTTCCTACACTTAAAGTTCGCGCCTGGTGATCTTCAAGGATATTTTTACACAGATCAGTTCTTTCACTTGCAGTAAGGTTGCCGGCACTTCTTCCATCGATTCTTTTCCTCGCATCGATCAACCGGATAGCCGGCCAGGTCGTTCTCATTTGGTCTACAGAGAGTGAACCATTCTCAGACAAGTATGATATTAATTTTCTGAACCATGACGGATGAAGGGTTGACCCAGGATGGATGAGCGGATAACGGACTCTCCTGGGACGAATCAAAACAGCATTGTATTCGTTATCAATGGCCTCGGTAGCACTGTGCTACTCGCAACTTGTGCGGGGTACTGTACGCAACTAATAACCGGAGCAATTTAGGATACTCCATCTTCATGGTTAAGTAATTGGTGATGAATAGGCCAAATAAGGGCGTATTTGAAAAGGCAACGAATCTCTTACGCGGCGTTTAGAAACATAGTGATGTAACAGTGTTTCAAATTTCACCAATCTATTATACTAAGTATTCATTTTCAGTACTAGGAAATCATAGGGGAACAGCAGAAATTTCTCTTTGGCTGTATAATTCTTCTATTCACGGAGTAAGGTGATGGATTAGACAGACAATACGCACGTACTAGCTGTATCTCGCTAAGAAGCGATACTACCGTAATTCCTTTAACAGCGTGCTTGCAAAACAAGTTTTTGGTCCTTGGAAAAGAGATAAGACGTGTTAGACACAGGCCGATCATCCAGGACTGCTAGGGCCATAGCATACCGAAATGGAGCATCTGGAGAACCCGACGCATACAAAATCGAGTTATAGTCGAGCTGTTCGCTATGGTGTAACCTTGGTCTCGGATCCGACACACAACCTAGAGCTCCAAGTCTAGTGATAAGACTTGATATGGTGCTCAATGCGCACCGAAAATGTCAGATACGACAGCAGAAGAACCAGGTATGGTTGGACTGCCACGACAATCTAGACAGAAGGGTGGCGCTGATGCAATTAGATCGTGCGATCAAGGTACCCCTACTGGCAGGGCATGCCCCGATTGTATTTTACATAAAATGTGAAGAAAGGTTTTGATTCTTTCGATGAACTTTAAGCAGTGTGGAGTTCAAAATTAACCCGGAAAAATTCTCAAGTTGATGTCACTGATGGTATAGGTTTCTGAATACATTGCAATGTAGTATCTATTTATCAAAGCAGCTGGATCAAAATTCTGCCAAAACTTCTTGAACTGACACCAATACAAGTTTAGCTAATGACATGTGAGATTCAATAAAGTGGATTAACAAGAAATATTCGAGATTGCATGCGTAACTTACAGCAAAAGCATCAGAACATTAGATATCACTGGCAGAAGAATAAATTTCGTAATTTCAAGTACACTTGCCCACTGAACTCTTTTTTGCAGAAGTTTTATGGCACAAATGATGTTAAGAAACGCTGTTTAGATCTTCGACCGTTGCGGCAAGCCTAACACTGAGGGAGTTGGTGATTGCGAAAAAGACCGAGGACATTTTATTAGCGCCGGAGTAGGACATCATTTACGATGTTTATGGGGAATTGATTTCAAGCAACTAGAACGGAGTAGTGGAAATTGGTTGCGTGTGGTGTAGTGGTCGGAGGCGCTCTGTAACAAACGTGGGACCGATCCCCGTGCACGTGGCTCACCATTGGCACGAGGCTTGCTTGGGAGAATAGCATCACAGGCTCGATACATCGATGGAGGACCGCTAATCATTGTAAACGTCGGATTCATTCAAGGCATTCAGTCACCTCCAACGATGCTTAATGAAGTCGAATGCATGGCGCGTCCCTAAGGCACTGGTCAACGCCTAGAGCTTTATCATTTCATCCTTTTACAACGGAGTAGATGCTGCTATGTTGCTCTCATTTGTGATTTTCGGAGAAATATTGCCGATAGTCACTCTTGGTTTGCTCGATGACACCTAACTAATCCTGAACATTTTCATGTATTGATCTAAAATAAATCAAAGTCCCAAACAGAATATCATCGAAGAATAACAAAATGGGTTTCATTACTGCTGTCTTAAGATAACCAATATACATAACACTTTTCCAAATTATTTTATTGCCGCTTGTTAACATCTCACTTACTGCCTACTTTTGTGAAAGGGTATAATGTGTAATATAACCAAAAGGACGTTGAGATATGAGCAAAACTAAGAACCTCAGTTGGGCATCGAACTCGGCATTACATTTGCTAGGAGCTCTAAAGTTCTAAGGCCCTTCTAAGCTGTCCTGTAGTGTAGGTTTGGCAAATATCTCAGCGACATTGTGATTGTATTTCAACTATCATATTTTAACTTCAATGGTGCTGAGATCATTGCACAACTCCGGACCGCAGGTGTCTGCGGTGGGGAACGAATGCGCTATTGTCCTTTCCGGGTAGTAACGCATTCACCACCATATCATGCGGGTCCTTCGTTTCGCCTGTCTCTCAGCTAGTCCTATCGATATGATCTTTTAGTTTTCAAACCGACTGTCACTTAACCTCGGTAGTAAAATAATCAACATATTATTAAACATGCTAAAGAGTGGATTATCCGTTGAAAAACAAACTTTTATCAATGAATTGTCATATCAACAACAACCGCCCTGTGTGAAAGAGCATTGCCGGGTGAGCATTTCTCATTCGTGCAGTGTTACATTCACGGGAGGTTCCGGCTCGGTGCAATAACGAAGTCACCAAATGGAAAAGATAAATAATAGTTGACCATCGACTCGGATCGTCGGCTCTATTGAAGGCGAAGACACCGAAACGTTAACATTAATATCAGCCTCGTATTAGCTCAGCAATTTGAAAACATGATAATTTAATTAACAAGGACACATAAGTTTTAATAGGAAAAACAGTAAGGTATTTATTTCGCGAATGGCCAACAGCCTATCAATCAACGTCTGTTGTGACTCGGATACTTGACGCTGTGGAGCATCGACAACTGTCAGTTGCTCTTCCAGCAGCCACTTATTTCTCACAAGCAACTCTTCATGAGGCCCTGTTTTTTTAGTTAAAGATTTTTTAGCTCTAGAGCAATTTTTTAGAGATGTAGACTCAACTAAAGTCTTTCTCAACTGTAAATATTTGACCGAATTACTGAAAACGTAACTGAATTGTAAAATTTTATAAAGAATGTTAAGTGTAGATGACAAATTTTGAAGAAATTGCTCTTAAATTGATCAATTGTCCTCATCGAATTCCTGGAGAGATCGCACTTTTTCTGTTCTTCTATCGCCTTATTAAAGAAAACCCACTGTGAAAAATGAAACCCATAATTCTATGGGATAAGTTTTTTGAAGCTCAACTTTATGATACCATGATGTTATCCATGACGTTTCTCGAGTGCCAGAGTTTTTGCCTAGAAATAAGGAGTAGTTCCTAGGAAATTCAATGAACATGAAGGCATGACATTAAAGCTCACCGTTTCGCAAATGTTCTTCAGTTCCATCCACACACCTATTCTTACCTTACGACAGTGCAAATTCACCCTAATTCGTGTACACTGGTCGACTGAACTGAGAGAACCTCATTTTATTGACCCAGTGGTTACTTGATAAAATAGGAAAAATAGTGAAAACTTAGTAAAATATTTTCTAGATGGATGGACATCCCACTCAGCACTTTATACTACGGTCCTTCAAAAATCATTTAGACAAATGACTCACCTTTTCCAAATATTACAGCATTCTTACTCCAATTTTAGAGTCATTCTTACTAACCTCAAAAAGCGCGCAGCTCTGCTTCAAATTAAACCCCAAGATTCGTTCACTATGGAAGGCTACACTTATTCCTAAAAGAATGCTATGTCTTATATTCTTTTCAGTAAGGCGGTAAATGTTTGTTTCTTTCTTTAACGTATTGTTGAATATCTTTTTAAAAAGTCTCATAGTGGCCAAAACATATAACAGTTTCTGATCCTTTCAATGTATTGTCATTATCTGGTAATAAAATTAAAGGCCGTTTTTTCAACCTACTTTCTTTAGATTTCATGAAGTTCTACTTACTTTTGAGCGTATGTCTGACATGCCTCTCTGCTCCACTAGTGGAGGATGTGCTAGAGAAGAAAGAAGAACAAGGCTAGTTACAGAGCATTAGAACTTGCTGGAAATCAATGGACCACTTTTGTACTTTTTCTTTTTTTCCACTTTCAAATTGTTTTTGGAAGGTTTTCGATCCACAACGTATTCACGATGCTAATCGATCACTCTTGAAGAGAAGGCAGACAATAGTTTACTGTATTTTTCTCAGAACCGATCCACCATTGAGCTGAACTAATGGTTTAACTCTCATTTGGGTCCAGTTAAGTATAAAAATCGGTAAAGGAATCCTAGGAGCTTGAAGAGACAAAAATCGGATTGTGCAGTGTTCGGGCCATATGTTTGGTGTGAAACCACCGTTTATCGTCTGAGTGTTTACCTTGCTTGTTGACGAACAGTCCAGTCAGTGATGTGAGGATGGAAGCAACTCGAGCTCGTATTTTAAGCCTTTCTCACATGGTGTCAAATTTCTATTCGTTGACTGGTATTGAATTCATTAGACGATCACTCTCACAACAGAAACCACCTCGGCAAGTAGAATGGCGCAGATGTTCGCGTAAATAGGTGACAGCTTTTATATTTATTATAGTTTTCAGTGTAGCTTGCCTCACGAGTACCACCAACAAAGTAGAAGGATTTCAAGGGATTATGACCTATGTTTGGGAATTTTCTCTGAGACACTAATGTGATCCCATCTCGAACAACACTTAGCGCTCGTGCGATAAAGCTTTTCAGAAAAAACTTCAGCTGATTTCTTTATCTGCTAAAAGTCAATGAAACCATCATTCTGCGATAGTTAAACAGATATACGCGCTCTAGGATAGAAACATTACAACGAGATGCTTACTCCAGTCCACGCACAAGTCAGTTATATGTACCTGTAGGTGACTTATCGTGTTCAGTGAAGGAGTACTGACCACAACGTCTGAAAGTTAAAAATCGCGCACTTTTAGCGAGTGAACGCAAGAATGGTGAGGCACGTATATCTTCGCCCTACACAATTGATATCGGCATCTCCTTTATAGTTATTATGCAACTAAACAAGTTCCAGTAGTCATTGATTACTCAAATTCAATATGTAGTTTTAGTGTCTGTTTTTGTTCTTCTTTAAAAACTCACTCTCTTTAGACATTCAGGAAAAAATCTTCTAGATTGTTCTAAAGTAATCCGTATTTAAATCCCACCTAAAAATCGTCTAATACAGAAAGGAGGAAAACCTTCCAAAGTGCTTCATTAATTTCCATAAAGAAACATCCATCCTGTGATTTTTCACTGAAGATTTCCTGTTCAGCTTTGAGCATGGAAGCGTTGGATGAATACCTGGACATGATCAAGATGTTTCGAGGTTTGAAAAATGTTACTTTGAGAGACATAAACAGAGCAAAACTATGAACGAGAAGCGACAACGTTCGTTAACAAAAGAGTTTTAACCAATTGCGGTGCAAATTTGCTATGTAATTACGTTGTTTCAACAGAAAATTTCAAGCGAACTAACTAGTTCTTGAATAAAGTGAAGGAAATAATGAAACGAACAAACACTAAGTGCTACATATTTCTTCGTGAAGTACTAAAAGTGAATATTGACTGCTTAGGTATGCTTCCGCAGGATCTCATTGGAACTATTGAAAACGTAAGTCAATTTCTTATCTCAGGTAATGCTATCTAAAGGACACCGACCGATCCTTTGACAATTTCAGTTGAACGTGACTGAAAAAGGAGAGTTAATAAGTTTTATGTCTAACTGGTATCATGGAAGAATAAAGAAGCCGGAGAATAAAGATGAGCTTGTGGAATTAATCAAGGAAGAACTACCGACGGTAGGTACTGCCTACCATATCGAAAAAGCCTTCAACAACAGTGAAATGAAATAAAGCATTGTTGGTCAAACTGCGAATGCCATCGACTTCTAGCTAGCAACGAGACGCTTGCGTTATAGTGTATGTGAACTAATTAAGCATCGAAGCACTTCCTATAACCCACTGGTAGAGTCCCATTCGTTACTAGCAGAGCTCTCCACTAGGCCACACCCACTTTCCCAATAATCACAAAACAGCACACTGTTTCCATTAGGTTCATTGTTTCCAACCCTTCTAGCAGGTAGATTTAGGAAAATATCCCGAAGTTAACGTGGTAGACTCATTGAAGACGACCTCGGGTAGTCTCCCATAGGTGTCCCACTTTCCTGGTTGGGGCATTTCTTTAAATTAACTTGATATAATTAAAGCGGTATGCAATGTATTCTTTCACTGGGAACAGTAAAGGAATACCCATCTCCCAATGGTATAAAACGGCGAGGTCAATTTTTTTGCATTTAATCCCCATACCCACCAACTCAGGGTGAGCCATGTAACCTGAAGGTCAACCGGCTTGAAATCCATGGCATGCGAAGGATTTATGGAATAGTGTGAGAAAAAGCGCTAGAATCCAAACTGGAGAAAGGTTATTTCATAAACAAACATCATAAAGCGAAATGTCTATGAAAAATTTACACGTGAAACAATTTTCGATTCTCCAGTACTTTTTTCGATTTAGCTCTACGATAAAATCGATGCACTGAATACAACATTCTACACCAAATTCTTGCAACTGAAACCGGAAACACAGGAAATATTGCGCTCGGTGAGTACGATTATTATAAAGTATAGCTGAAAATTCTGCTAGGATTTGAAAGACCCAAAGAATCAGAGTTTTGGAACGAAGGACGCTTGCACTGGTACAAAATTTTCTCAGAATGCAAAACATATTTAGATATAAGGCTATGTTTGGCAGTGTCCTTTTTCAGTAGCAACTTTCTTACTGTAAATTATTTAAATCATTAATTATTGTGAAAGAATTCCCTCAGTGGTCCCAGAGGCGTAGTCGTTGGCCAACGTGTGGTTAAAATTGAAAAGAAATGTCTTAAGTTATTCGCGTTATTTTGTTTATCAGCTTCTCAAGGTTATTTTTTAAATCCTTCAACTAATTTCCTCACAGTTGTTCCATTTTGCTCCAATGAAAACAACCCCAGAAGCCCTCACTTCTATGTGAGTTCAGTGGCGTGACAAAGCGATATCGTTGGAAGGTGCGACGCCTTCAGAATCGGCTGTGAAACGACTTCAAATGCTCCGAGACGTTGCGTTGTCGGTGCAGACGATGAGCAACGAGACGAAAGAAGACATACGTTCACAATTTCCAATGGCAGTTAATCTAACCGAAGGTTAGTCGCGTTTCCGAGGGAAAAGCTTCATAAAGCGGAAAGCAAGAAAGTCAGTAGACTATATTCAAAAAACGGTGGTTATGCTTTTGGTCTTGGAGGTTACCATGGAAGTTAGTTATCGAAGTACTCACTTCCTTAACGATGGTAGCTATGCTTTTATGCGATTCCATAATCTTCTAGGATTCGGCTTCACAATTCTAACGACAATGGCGATGATAGTGCAGAAAATAATAGAATCATTCAATGCCGTTTCAACTGCCGCTACGGTCCCACAAGAATGTTCTATGGCGCCTCTAGATTGACGGCTGCTCCAGCGACTACTAAATGCACAAGAGCAGAATTTTCCTTATGGAATCCAAAACTCTAGGCTTTGTTTTAGAGATTTCTTCTGCGCAATATAAAGTCAGTATGTTTATTAGTGGAATAAATGCTAGTAGAATGGGCCAAGAAAGAAATATTGAAAAATGTTGAAAGGAAAAACAGAAGAAAACTATATAAAGGCTATAATTCGATTTCCCTTATCTGTCTCATCCAAGATTCCCTTCTTCCAGGATCTGCTCCAGACTCGTCTGGGATCAGCTGGATCCCTACAATCCGCAAATGGTTGCGACTTTCTGCGATTAAAATCTGGAAAATTTCTAGTATGGCCATCTCAGGATTTGAATGAAAATTGGCTCAACTATTCAAAAAAATGGTATTCAATGATATTGGTGGAAAAGCCGAAAAAACCTGAAGCACAAATCTACGCTAAGTCCGGAAACGTTGGTTGATAATAGATTCAAGAAAACGAATCGAATGCGACAAATTCTAGGACAAACACGACAGGCAATTTCGACCTGTTTAGAATAAAAAGCAAATCTAACATCCATGCTAGCATGGGAAAATTCTACCACCTAAACATATTATTCCCATGACCGACTTTCTGTTCACCTCGGCATTGATTGATAATTCGATATTTTTCTTCAATAAGTAAACACGAGATTGTTATTATATAATTTATTATGATCCAATAGCTGACGTTTCGGCGGTTACGCCTTCTTCAGAGCCCACTATTCTTCTCCAAAGGGAATCCTCCAAATACTGAACACAATAAGATTCCTTCGACTTGCACTTCTTTAGTTGCGCGTACATGATGTTCTGTTTGCATCGAAGAGAGGAGCGAAGTTGTCGCGTTTCCATGTTCAGTACTAGTTGGCTGTCTCTCGGTAGGTCGCATACATCGTGTAGTCGTTTTCGTTTGATGAAGTTCAGCACGACTCGGTGTTTCAGGCAGCGGCGGAGAAAGGTTATCGTTTGTCTGGCTAAAACAGTTTTTTGTCTTATTAGTCTTTTGTTAGTGACAGGACTTCTTTTACTCTCTGAAGAATAGTGGGCACTGAAGAAGGCGAAACAGCCGAAACATCAGCTATTGTATCCTAATAAATTCTGCAACAACCTCGTGTCTGCTTATTGAAGAAAAACATAAAAATGTTGTTGGTTAAGACCAGAGATTGTTAGAACCTTTCATGAGCATGCAGTACTATTGTGCCACTTGTTGGTTTGTTCGCCTTCGAGTAATTTAGACTGGATACTAGCAATGCCTCTACTCACTCCTGTCGCTTAGCAGAGCTGCTCACTGAGCTTCACCCTTTCAAAAGACCCAATTGAAACATTCTTGCCAAAAGAATGTTTCCTCCATACTTTTTCGGAGAATGGAAACCACTAGTGGCCGTTTGACTCAGCTGTGATATAAATGTGTTTCAAGCTAATCTTTCCTATTAAAATATCCAACTCCGCAGTAAGCAGCACTTGCTAACTCGATGAACTTCCCTGACTTAGGCACAGTGAGGCGATAATACCATCTAATTTAATGAAGAGTCAATTCAATTCACGGCGATAAAGAAGTGCAATCAGTAGGAGCATTTGGTCAAAAGGAAAAGAGCGTTAGCCTAGCAGCTTTCAGGTCTCATTCGGTGATCAGTTGCACCATAACTGCTCTACATTAATTTGATAGGTAAACTTGTTTTGCTTTGCAAAGCTGGGAAATAACCCATCACCTGTTCACGATATGCGCTGACGTCTACCATTCCTTGAACTATTCTTTGTTTAAAAATTTACCATTGTTTGCATGCGATGTTACAGAATGGAATTAAACATCAGATAGTTAAAACTCAGTGAATTCACATTAGAAGGGAGGTATTTCGCATATAAAAACATCACAACTTGTAAAGATATTTGACAAAAACAGAAATGCAATAAACTCTCCAGTATGGGTAAAGTAAAATGAAGAGTCTCAATACAGCTGACGGGCTCTCACTATTATTTAATCAGCGTCAGTAGGAGAGCTTCCAAGAGATGTTCGCCTGCCTTGTAGCTCTTCTACGAGCAACATTGATAGCCTATAACAGAAAAAAATGGAAAGACATAGAAAGATAAATAACACAGGGGAATGTCCTTTATATTCTTGTTGAGCAAAAGCGAGGTGCTATTTCATTCTTCATTCAAGAACAAGGTGACGTTTTGGAGGGTTTCGGAGAAGGAATATCATACGTGATTATGAAGCATTCTTTGAGTGGTTCATTTTCGCATCCTTGGAATTAATCCAGAATCCCACGAGTGTATTGCGCGCTTGTTGTGTTTTCAACTCATGTCCGAGAATCGTAAATTCTACTTCAAAATATTCCCCGCCACCTCTCTGTGTCCTATGCGTGCCTAGTAAAGTACTTGGTTTAACCTTAAGTTTGCCGACTAGGTGTTCTTTTATACGGAAGCAGAGCGGGCTACCGTTTCGCCAATGTATTCGTCCCCGTACACTTTGCAAGAGATCAGATAAACTGCGCCCGAACTTATGCAAGCACCTCCTCTACCGTTGGGGCAAATGTAAATATCGCAATCTTGATACCGACTTCATCGTTAGGGTCTTGTTGTGAAAAGCACGGTTGAGGATATAGTGGTGGTGGTGGTAAAGCCCCTACCCCCTGTTGTTCGCTGCTATTTCGTGTTTCATCTTTAGCTCATCAGGAAGCCCAGGCAAGAGTAAACCACTAGAAGACAAGGTGAGGGCTTACAGCTGTTCCCATTTCTCACATTCACCACTCGTCCATCTCATTTCACTCGAATACGATTGAAATTTGAATACTGATTGACTACCAACGTTATAGCGCCTCATTGTGGATGGGAGGTGTTCCTGAGCCTACATCGTGATCCTAATGCATCAATCAACGCCGAAAGCTTTACTGTCACATCATTTCGACAAGGAAATGGTCAATACACTAATCTCCGACCTTAAATATAATCGTCGAG